AAGAAAAAGATCAAGAAATCTGAATGTTGCACGTTCTCCGACAAATATTTTATTTTCGGATGAGTCCACGAATCTAAAGGGATGTAAAGCTTATGGCGCATCCCCGAGTGGAGCTGCGCGCGCTTCAACTATGGTTCTTTGAAGAAAAATTTTGATTCAGGTAAAAGCAAGAGGATTCTGAAAGGGGCCGTTCAAAATGACGGAGGTGAAATCCAATACTCAAGAGGGAATGCAGTTATCTGCGTCAAATTTATAGACATATCATCGTGAAGGTTCCTGAAAGGAGCTTTAATCGTTGAAAGAGTGCCAATGCCGCGAAGGGAACCTCTTGACTGTGCTTGGGCAAAAATCCCCAACTAGCCTCTGCCTTACCATCGAATAGAGCCAACAACCTTGTGAATAGAGCGAATCTCTCAGTTTACATGCCGTATTAACTTTTCAGATTGATGAACTTGAACGGAGTTATGGCTTTGGGAAGCGTAAAAACTCGCACTCATCACGAATTTTCCTCGTTAATTTTGCAAAAATCCTCAACGTGGCCATTCCCGACGCACTGGGCAAATCAAGTAATTTTAACAATAGTCAGAAAGAATCAATCAGTTTAATTTACAATGATATATTGAACCTCTCCAGATTTGAGGAAATTGAAGGAAGTTATGGCTTTGGAACTAGTAATAACTGGCACTCATCATAACTCATCATAAAATTTCCTCGTTGATCATCTAAATTTGTTATTTCTTATAAATTTTGTAATTTCAATACTGATTAGAAAAGCTCTTCACAAAACTTCCAAATCTGCTTTCAGATTGAAAATTCGTCATACTTTGAAGAAAGTTATAATCATTTGAATATTTGTTCAAATTTCAATAGTAAATAAGCTGCTCCACGGTCAACGCCAAAGTCCAGTCAACACACAGCTGGCGACAGCTACTTTTACAAGGCTTTTTTTGCTCCATTTCTGTGTAGAACTCATTTTTAATGACCTTTCTCTGACTTCTTCTACTTGATGAACGATTTTCATGGTCGATGGTAGGTAAAAGGTTGTTTTTTTTCCTTTACGAAACTTTTCGGGGAGGGAAGAGCAACTTTTTCATCGTTTGGCTTATGAAGAGAGTCGTTTCGTGGATGGGAGAGAGGTGGAGGGGTTCGCATTTCAAAATTCTCCTCGACTCCTCGCTTGACCCTGGCTCGTGCTTCAAAACCGCGGAGATATTTGGAAATCTGTGCCTTCTTATTATGGCCCGCACACCACTGATGATTATCATGGATATCCCCACGATTTTCAGCACTGCTCGCTTACCACCCCGACTCACCCCGTGGACTAAATACGGTCGTACCCTATGTATTTGTCTGATTTGTAACGGACGGTTGATATGACTGCTGGCCAGCAGTAAATTCCAGCCTCGATAACAACAACCACATTCGTGCAAGGAACTCTACAGTGGAAATGGGTTCACTTCAACGACGTCACCGCCTTTGACAGATGTTTCACATTGGTTTCTTTGCGCATAGTCGAAATTACTTTTTCTTCCATTGTACTTTCATCATCCGGGGCGAAAAATTCCAAAGTCTTGCATCGCTTCATGCGGCCAATAGATAACTTGACGTTCTGTTGAGATCTTTCTCAGCAAGCTTTTCGAGTTCCGTATCTTGCACCTGCTAAAAATGTTTTTGAATGCAAATTCAAAATTTTCACTGATGGATTCAGCTTTTGCAAAAGTATTGGAATTTACAGCACACATAATTAGTTAATCATTTAGAAAGCGCGGCGCGCAGTCAACTCGAAGCGAACTTGTTGAAAAAGGTGAGAGGAAGTAAATCGCGCTGCCTTTACAGGCTGCGAGATGAGTTCCAGCGGTATTCAAACCGAAATGATTTGGATACAAGCTGAGTTTGATATTACTGTGAGCGAGTAGGGCTCTTCAAAGCAAGGCCCCGTATAGCAGCGTACGATGAAGTGATGATCGGGTAATTAATACTTGTCGGTTGGCTGGTAGGAATAGCGCACTTTTACACATTGACGACAACGCGGGGACATATATCCCGCGTATTGCAGGCCATGTTACGGAATAAATATCTCCCGCAGCCATTACACCCATTTTTCGATTCTTTTAGAAGTTTTTGGTATTTATTTCATGGAAGAGACCTTGAAATATACAAACAATGACAGTAGCGTCCCCATTTACTGGTCGCATAGTACCTATAACTTAAGGATGCTGAATCATACGAAATCTTCAGTTTAATAAATTTTTCGTTTACTTTTTTTATGAATAATTGAATAATAAGTGAAGATTTAAATAGTATTAGAAGTAAGGCGGACCTTAGGGATGACAACATGTGTGTTTTGATAAATTAACCAACTTAGACATGCTTTTGAGGTCCATTGCAGCTAGTTCTGACAAATTTCACTTTTTCATTATCACTTCATGTCATTCGATTCGAAATTCCACTACTGTACCTCCTGGGTAGGTAGGTTGTGCTCATTACAATTTACTGATCTTGGTTTGTATTGATCATTATTTATGTATTTATCACTCAAAATCTGCTTGAACGACCTGAGGCGGAGCGCGCCCGCAAAATCGCCCGGTCCCACGTGGCCAAAAAAGCCAAAACTCGCGTTGTCGTCAACGTGTTAAGCGTTCTACATCTTCTTTGCTTATGCTGAATTTTCACCAAATCCACCTAGTTTTCATCACTTTGCCACTTTGTGCTCACCTCCGAGCCTCGTGCTCATTGAGTTCTACAGTTCCTGCACTTTGAAGGAACCGTCAAATTGCATCAAAGTTGACCAGATTCTATGGTTATCCTTTGAACAACATTGGGAGGGCACTCAACGGCGAGATGCCCTGGTACGCTCAAGAAATTTTAGGAGATTTGTTCGAAAGGCAAAATTATAGCTACTTGATTCCCCTATACGGTAACAGCAGACGTTCATGTAACGCGCTTGTCAAACTAGCTAATTTTGTCCCCTTGACGAGGTGAATGACGCGGATCAGTGATGACTTCAACGGTCGGCATGTCACCTAGAAGATCCCGATGGCCAAATCGAGGACAATTTTCTGTTTGCTAGTCATCAAGGTTGCCCTTCAATAAATCGAGATGCAATAATTGTTCCATCCAGACATCGAGGCAGGACATCTTGGTCTTATAGCTGGCAAAGCTTCGGCGAGCATTCCGGATGCTCCTCCCAGCTTCTTCCCACGCATCTCTCTCACTGAGGATCGTCTCTCATCTCTCACTGGAAGATCTCTAGCCGGTTGGTGGCGATTCTACGTGGCGCGAACTCCAGGTGGGCGCATAGGGGGTTAATCGTGGGACACATCCCCAACCTTGGGGATGACATCCCCTCACCTTGGGGACGATCCCCAACCTTGGGGATATATCCCCAACCTTGGGGATATATCCCCAACCTTGGGGATACATCCCCAACCTTGGGGATATATCCCCAACCTTGGGGATATATCCCCAACCTTGGGGATATATCCCCAACCTTGGGGATGGTCCCCACGGTGGTTGGAGGGGATGGGTACCCATCCCCTCGTCGGGGCTTGCTGCACCCGCTCCAGGATAGCGTGGCTAACTACCTGGAGGTCTATCCTAGCCCACACGACAGAGCCTGGCAAGCTACTCGTGTGCCTTCAATATGCCGAAAACAGCAATATGGATGGGCCTCATTCCCCTGAACCTGAGGGAGCCCCCAATACGGCAGCGTTGGGTAGGACCGCTCGGGAGAGGCTGCTAGAATCTCAGGGCCCGGATAGGCTGCCTAAACGAAGAAGGACTAAGATGGCGATCTGTACTTTCAACGCACGAACGCTTGCATCCGAAGCTCACATCGAAGATCTGATGATGCAGGCCAGGAAGATCAAGTACGACGTCATCGGACTGACCGAGACGAGAAGGCACCGCCCGCTACACGCCGTTTTCGATACTGGAGAAGAACTGTTCCTTGGAACATGCGACAGCAGAGGCGTTGGCGGTGTGGGTGTCCTCGTCAACACGCACTTGGCCATATAAACATCGATTCGTACGAAAGCCTTACGACCCGAATCGGACGTTTGAGATTGAGAAGATGTGGTTCAACTCCTGCTTTGACAATCTTCGTCGCCTACGCACCAACATCCAGCTACGACGAGGAGGAACACGAAGCATTTTATATGGAATTGGAGAAGTTCTACAGGGAAGATCATACCTTCTTTCAAGGGTCATCGTCGGCGACTTCAACGCTAAGATTGGCCCAAGAAGAACGGCTGAAGAACTTCACATCGGTACTCACGGAATGGAATGAGCAGGGTGAGAGACTGTCGGAGTTTATCATGTCGACCAACACCATCCATGGTAACTCACAAAAGCCCCTCACCTTCGTTGGACTTACAGTTTCATAACGAGATAGACCACATCATCTCCAATCGAATGTTTTGCCTGACCGACGTCGCTGTTTCAAAGTTCGTACACCATCGTCTCATCCGCTGCATAAGTTCACTTTATCGATAGTGGTGAGAAGCTCTAAAATTTAGGAAGCGACAGCGCCGCACGCCCATCACTGGACCACTTCCACTTCCTTGTCTAAACTCGATGGGTAGGTCCGTTATCGAGAACATCGACGAGGAATATCATCGGCTCGTTGAACACCTTCACGAGAGTGGCAGGAAGGCAGAGAGTTTGCAAGTCACCAAAGGGACGTCTGTCTACGGAAACTCTCGAGCTGATACGCCAACGTGGAGCCGCACGAGCTGCAGGCAATCACCAACTCACGTCCGAGCTTGCGAAGCTATGCAGAGAGGCGATAAAGGAAGATCTCAAGGAGCGAAGAGCAGCAGTATTAGCTGAAGCAGCACGTGAAAGTACTGTGAGAAACACTAAGCTCCTGGTTACACTCCTCCCACTTCATCCTTGTTCCAGTTCTCCCGTGATTCCTCTTCGTGTGAAGTCATCCGCATATTGCCCTCTAGCAACGATGTGATGAAAGATAATTGCAACCTCAGTGCAACCTAATTGTTTTCCATTCCCATCGACACCTTGGGGTGTTGGCAGCCACATTGATGCCTTTTTCAAGCTCTACTCACTTGTAACGATATTATGTGTGCAAGTGGGGAGCTTCGCAACATGCTCACATCCGCTTACATTTTGCTTTGGATAAGGATGCTGTTCAAACTTAATTGCAAATATTGCATACTCCCCACACGCGTGGATAACCAACTATCCTAGCGTGTCACGATAAAGTTTGGGTAGTTTCGGTATGTATCGTGTGGGGACGGTATCAGCCTACACAGAAGCTTAAAGCAACAGTCCCAGCAGGGTGGGCGTGGTCGGAAACGGCTGCAATCCCCTCGGCCGATTCCCACTTCGGAGCTGTTCAGCCCCTAGTCAAGAACGTAAGAAGTGACTGAACAAAAACTCACCTTGGAAAGCCGCTAGGGAGGGAGCTGAAGTGGGCGTGGTCGGAATCGGCCGAGGGGATTGCAGTCGTTTCCGACCACGCCCACCCTGCTGGGACTGTTGCTTTAAGCGTTGAAGCCAATGTTCATTGACCTAGTTCTTCTTTCTTCTCCTATGTACTTTGAAAAAAGCGAAAAAGACTCACCAGATTTTTGTAAGTTTCACGCAGTATTAAACCCCATGAGGATTTTGCAACCTGTCTTTTCGTTTTCTGAAATAATCATCTCTCCACTGTATCACAGAGATGAGGTGGATTTGCCGCAGTATCAAGAAGCGAGAGCTGAGAGATGAAGCCCTCCTGCTTACCTGTTGTAATGCATTGGCATTGTCGGCGCCGACGGCCGTCACAGAGAGCCACAGCTGCTTAGCGAGAGCAACAACATTTCGAGTACTGCGAATTCTCGGACGCATGCATTCCGATATATATTTGAGAGGAACAATGCATCCAATAGCGTTCATACATCTATATTTTGTTGTATCAAATTCTTGTCCGATTCGCCTGAAAGCATGTTTTCCATAATTTCGTCTACGGTATTTATCCAGCTGAGCTCTGAGCCAATAGTTCCGGCATTTTGGAGAACCTCGTCATCAGAAAATGAAATGAGAACGATATTGCTCAAATGGAACGAATCCTATCGTCGAAATTTGAGCCAAATGAAGAGAGCAGCAATGTGGAAGATCATCCTGCAGGCACCAAGGGTGCCAGCAAGAAATCACATTTGCGATGCCCACGATTTGTTGACCCTACTTACGGGTGGTGACAATTATTGCGACCAGCCTGGCACACCTAGGTTTTTCTCCCTGTTGGGACTCCTTCTATTCAAGTGAACAATATTCGTTGATGCTTGACTCACATTGCTCAGACGAAAGGTTTAGTCAAGGCGCGAAATTTGGGTGCTGCTGCGATATCGGGACTGGATTGGTGAGAACGCCCTGGTGAAGCTGTAACTTGAGGTTTTTTTGAGTTTTCTATCATTGGTCTCGTGAACTTTCTAGCAGAGGAATTTGTGTAAAGAATTACCAAATGCTGATATCTTCAAGAGTCTCAGTCGCGATTTGATACAATTGCGGTAGCGTCAGAGGACACTGCCTCACTAAATATGATTATACTTCGACTGTCTTAGAGAAGTTCGTTTGTCGCAACCTGCAGAATCAGAACAGCTTTATTACGAACCTTTACAAGTCATCAGCAGGTTATCCGTATAGTTTCCGTATTTTTAGACAACTTTTAGAGCCTATGCGAAATCATAGTCTTACTTAGACTTAGTTCCTCCCGTGCTGTTGAGCACATCGGGTGACGAATTCTTTCCACTGCTGACGATTTTGCGCGAATGTTTCATGGTCTTTAGGTCATTATCGAATGTTCGTCTCCACGTGTTTCTGGGACGGCCCCTTGCTCTCTTGGCTCCTGGAGGGACCCAGTACATGGCCCTTCGTGGAATGCGGTGTTGTGGCATACGTAGGATATGTCCAGCCAGTCGGAGTCTGCGCCGTGCCACAATCACGTGGAGGCTGCTCATACCTGTGCGGCGGCGGACTTCCTGATTAGTGATGTGATCTGTATACCGTATTTTCATGATTCGGCGAAGACAACGTTGATGGAAGGCATTTATTTTTCTGACGAGTCCAGCAGTGATTTTCCATGTTTCGCTTGCATACAGCGCCGTGGAAATCACAATGGATTGGTACAGCCGCATCTTAATGTTATGTGAGATAGAGGACATTGTCCATACTGACTGGAGTCGTTGAAAAACAGATGCTGCCTTCGCAATCCGAGTACGCGCATCTGTTTCCGCGTCTCCGTCGTAAACAACTGTACTTCCCAGATATGTAAATCTGTCAACTGTCTCGAGTTCTTTCGCATCGACATAAATGGCCATTTGTGTATTGTGGGAACCAATGCGCATGACCTTCGATTTTTCGGCACTGATGCGTAAGCCAATCATTGTTGCTTCATTGCTAAGAGTTGTAGTCGTTTCTTGGAGCTTGTTTTCGTCTTCCTCAATGAGTGCAATATCATCCGCGAAGTCCAGATCTGTGAGACGTTCTTGATCATACCAACTTATGCCAGTTCTCGTTTGTCCTACCACCTTTCGCATAACAAAGTCTAGACAGATGTTGAACAGGAATGGCGATAGAATACATCCTTGTCGTACTCCAGTGGTGATTTCGAAAAACCGAGTATGCCCATCATTTGTCCTTACGCAGCACGATGAGTTCATGTACAAGCTCTTGAAGATGGTGATAAAACGTTGCGGTATGCCGTATATCTTAAGAATTGCCCATAACGAGTCGCGGTGAATACTATCGAACGCCTTTTTGAAATCAATGAAGTTGATGAATAGAGGATGCCCCTTATCAGTCCTCATCAGCTGTTATCAGTTTCTGTCCCACCACCAGATACGTATGTACCCCTCTTACCCCCTTCGTAATATGTGGGAAAGGACAGCACTCCACTATTGCAGTGAAATGTGCTATGAATTTTGTGACAAACAGACGTACATACACATACACACGCACAGACATACGTTACGAAGTTATATGATACCAGTTGGCGCCGCACGCGTTGCGCGCACAGCACAGTTCTGCGGCGATATAGGATGGTGCGGCGTGAATTTTCGAATTTGGCCCAATACACTTCGAATATTTGACTTTCAAGCTGAATTCTATCCGATTGCCCCATGCTTCATCCACCGATGGCTTTTGAGCTTCCCTCCTTCCTCCACCAATTGTCCGTAATCGTCAACCAATTGTCCGTTTTTCCCGGCCTCGGACTGCCTCCGGACCGATTTATGAACCTCGTGGTAAACTCCGCCTATTTCTTTGCATGTCCCACCTATCTTTTTCTTCCTCGCCAACCTCTTCCCACTTTTTACCCGATCTCTGAACTATCTCTGAGCCGATTTATAATTTTGGCGGCGAATCCTGTTTTGGTGTATCCTCCGCACACCATTAGAAATTCACTTCCTTTCCTTCGCCCACTTCTCTCCCGGTCTCCAGGACTTCTTGCAGCCGAGTCACAAAGTTTTGTGGAGAACTCCGCCCACCTTGGAAATGCCCCGCCCACCAACAGCAGTTGGGCTCCACTCCTTCACCCACCTCTATCCACCTTTTTCCCGGTCTCCGGGACTTCTTGGAACCGAGTTATGAATTTCCGTCGCAAACTCCGCCCACTTTGGTGTACGCTCTACCCACCAATAGCAGCTGTCCTCCCGTGCGTTGTCGGACTCGACCCACTCTTTTCCCGGTCTCCTGGACTTCTCGGAACTAAATTATAAGTTTAGGGCAAACTCCGCCCACGTTGGTGCACGCCCTACCCACCATAGCAGTTGACCTCCCTTTCCGTTGACGAACTCAATTCACTTTTTTTCCCGGTCTCCAGGACTTCTTGGAACCGAGTTATGAATTTTCGTCGCAAACTCCGCCCACTTTGGTCATGCCCCGCCCACCGATGACAGTTGGCCTCCACTCCTCCACCCACCTCTATCCACCTTTTTCCGGCTCACTAAGACTTCCCGGCCCGAATTATGAGGACTTGTAGAAAATGCTGTACACTTCAGAGCGCGCTCCGCCCATTGTGGGCGGGCCTCCGCCCACGTCATGTATGCTGGGAACACCTTAGACATTGCTCCCTTACACCAAATTGTTTCTGCTCTAGGCTTTCTCCCAACCGAGTTATGAAATTTTTCATAAAGCACTGCTTTTTTAGAGAACGCCCCGCCCACCGGGGGTGGGTCTCCCTAATTCGATGTGACTTACCAATGCACACCTTTACCCACTTTTTGGCCCAGTTTCGAGGTCGTTTTGTCACTGAAATCGAAATCTTGGTCTTCAGTACATTTCGACGCACGCCACGCCCACTGTGGGCGGGGCTCCGCTTAGCTGATGTGTGTTTTGTACTTCGTGAGACCTTGCCCACCCATCCCACACTTGACCCGGTATCTCCAGGCGGATCCTCAGGAGCTAGGGAATTTCGTGGCAGACATACAGAATGACAGAACGACAGACGAAGCGCTTTATAGTAAGTAGGATACACTAGTTTTGCTCCGCTCGTCCCGCGGCGTCGGGGGAATGAATCAGCTTACTCAGAAAACAATGAAAATGTACATTCTATCAGACGTAGGAGTCTATGACAATCGATCTATACCCGGCTATTGTATGAGTGACGTACTGCTTTGAAAATTTCTTATTGACGGTTGGAATTTACGAAAGCAGAATAGATATATAAGCGCACCACTTTTTTTAAGTCTTCATTCAAATACCCAACAATCTCTTATAACTTCTGTAAGAGGTAAAAACGTCTAGCAGCCGAATGACCTTCGGATAACTAATTACAACTACTTGGGCTCTTTATTATCATGCTTCGGCGTAAACATCTCCCATGCCTCGGATGTAGGGATGGTATTCGGTGTAAAAACCTTTTAGAGAAATATTAAGAAATAACATTAAAGAAATATGTACCAATGCTTTTCGCATTTCCACAGACACCGACGATTTAGTAAGCTCGAGCAGATTAGCGGTCGAATGGCTCATGGCGAAATCGCGAAGAAATGGAATGTAGTTTATTATCGGCACATTATGTGAAGACTTAGTGACAATTCGCGCCGATCCGCTCTTATAGCTCTTCAGCTGTTCTCACTTTCTGGCCCCCTGTGATATGTTTCCACATCCACCCCTATCCCTGCACACTGAGTTTTGTTTCTTTACATCCTTATCGATCTTATCAGCTGTCCATGCTCCTTTTCGTGGAGAGAGTGAGCCCTTCTCTAGTTCTCGTCGAATGTTATTAGACCGTCTCCAATCCTCCCCCCATAATCATACTTACAAACAACGCCTCTAATGCTTGCTGGGGTAACGCGTCACATTTACACTGATCGCGAGTTTTCTGCGATCCAACCGCTTCTTATACTATTCGGATCTATATCGCTGTTATCACCTTCTGACCCCGCCAAATATGATTCCGGCCGGCCCCTATGATCAACACCATTGGTGTCAGCAGAATCACTTCATGATAGTGCAGGTCCGGCGTCCATGCAATTTTGCGTACACAACAACGGAGAGCACATCTGACAGACTAGCCGATTTTATATATATGTAAGACAGATAGTGTGATCAGTAGGAACACGTTATAGCAGGCCGTCAGTTTCTTCTCTCTTCAGGAGCGATATGTTTCAGAATATTTACCCTGTTTTGCTTTCCCTAACTCACGGCAAGACGACATGAGAATACCTCTGAGACAACATTATTGGCGCTAATTATTTGGATGTGAAGGATGGCGCTCAATTGCCGGGTGCTGCGCCGCGCACGCCGTGTTTTGAATCGATTGCTGAGACATTTGAAAGTCTACAGGGGTGAGCCAAAATTATGGTAACCAAGACATCATATCACTACGAATGAATGTAACCCTAATAAAACAAATCGATTTTAAAAAGGTAATGGAGATCAGTACTGGAAGGCCG